AAAAAATTGGTCACATAATGTTTGAAACCTTGACAGATTTATTGAAAAACAATAGCCTATATATCCAAGAGAACTCCGAATAGGATGAACACAAAGACACCCACAAGCAGTTTCATAATAAAATCGGTGGAAATCAGAGGCAAGAAGCCCTGAGAAAACAATATATCACAAGGGAACACCAGAGTTAAAATTAACAGCTGACTAGGCAGAAAAATGGCAGCCAGAAGGCAATGAGATAACAGATTCAAAGTGCTCAGCAACAAACAAACAAAAATAAATTCTACATCTACAAGAGCTTTTTTCAAAAATGATGGTGAAATAAATATTTTCTAGATAGACAAAGACTGGATTTGTGGCTAGCAGTCAAGCCCTAAAAAAAACAGTAAAGGAAGTTCTTCACACTGAAAGAAATTGACTGCAGAAGCTTATCTCAATCCACACAAGAAGCACTGGTGTCTTAGCCATCTTGAGCTGCTATAACAAAATACCATAAAAGTGTATCAAAAAACATTTGCTTTTCATAGTTTGGGGGTTTGAGAAGTCCAAGACCGAGGGGCCAGCAGTGTATTCCTGGTGAAGATCCTTTTCCTTGCAACCACTACTGTGTCCCCTTCCCCTTCCCCTTCCCCTCTCCTTTCTCCTTTCTCCTTTCTCCTTTCTCCTTCTTCTTCTTTTTTGATACTAGAGGTTAAACTCAGAGGCACTCAACTACTGAGCCACATCCCCACCCCTATTTTGTATTTTATTTAGAGACAGAGTCTCACTGAGTTGTTTAGTGCCTTAGCTTTTGCTAAGGCTGGTTCTGATCTCGTGATCCTCCTGCCTCAGCCTCCCAAGCTGCTGGGATTGTAAGGTCAGGCCGCCTCGACCTTACAGATTTAAAAAGGCCTCTGAAGGAGGCTTTATTGAGATTTCACTCCCAGGCAGAGCTCTCAGACCAGCAGAGTGGGTCTAAGAGAATCGCACCAGGGTTGGACTGAACTGGGATTTTTATTGGGCTTAGGGCAGGAAGGGAGGGCTTGGGACAGGAAAAGGGTTTTTTAGAGTCCCTTGTCCTATTGGGGTAAGTCAGGGGAGCTGGCTAAGATCCAGGATTGGCCTGGAGATCCCACTGGTTGACAGCGGTTCTGTCGGTGCCTGATATGTGTCCCCCCGCCCCATCCCCAGCAGGTTGATTAATCACCTCAAACCAACCTAACAGGGATTACAGGTGTGCACCACTGTGCCCGGCCTCGGATGTGTCTTTGACGTGGTGATGTTATTGGCAGAGTCAGGATCAGGTTCACGCATCACAGAATAGAAGAATGAGCACAATGAACAGCATTGAGGTAAGGCAGCCAGCCAAATTTTATTAAAAAAGGAAAATGAGAGAGAGATTCAGAACTCCCGGTACAGTGCACCTGGAAAAGGCAAGAGTGCACTTAAGTCTTGCAGTGCTCCTCCTCTAAAGGCACATAAGGAGAAGTTGATAAGCTCCTCTTGATTGATTTTTTTAATATTTTAATTATCCCTAGCCTGGCATGGGCTGGATTATAGATTATGCAGTTGTTTTCGGCATGATGCAGATTTAGGCCCTTTCTGAGAAACAAGAACTGTCTTACAACATGTCAGGGCATATTAAAATGGCTGTCCTGTGCTTGGCCTCTTGGCGATCTTGATTGTCCCTTCCCTACTCTCCACTGCCTGGCCTTTTATACCTCAGTGACACAGACAGAAGTGGGTGTGAGGATTATTTTAGTTAGCATGATGTTTTTTCAGGCTTCTCCATGTGGTAGCATGCATCAGAAGAGCATTCTTTTTTTATGGTTGAAAGATTTCCATCAGATGTACAAACCAGTTTTTACCAGTTGATGACATTGGGCTGTTCTACCTTTTTACTATTGTGAATAACGCTGTGAGCATCAAATACAAAGATTTGTGTGTCCCTGCTTTCAGTATTATTGAATGTTAAGGCTCTATTCCAAAATCCCAAATACAACTCCAGGTCTTTTTGAAGGAAAGACAAAGGATTTATTCTGGCCAGGGCCAAGGAGCAGAAAACAGACAGTTCTTCAGCCGAAGACACTGAACACAGGCTAGGGGGGCACTTAAAAATCAGAAAACCACAAAAGAGGGGGCAGGAGAGGCAAGCACAGTCTTAGAATTGGCGCCTTTTTGTACCCATTCAGGAAGTAAGCTAACGTCTGCTCCATAGTTTAAAGATATTGTGGTCAGAGTGCAAGTGGGTGGGGGTGTCAGCATCTATGTGAGTGGGCTCATGAGGAAAGGGGCGCTAATTCTGCACAGGGTGAGATATCTGAGCATGAGATCAATCCGACTTAACTTTCAAATCTGCCCATGACATGAGGAGTGAAATTGCTGAGTCATGTGGAAATTCTGCTTAATTTTTTGAGAAACCACTCTATGGAGTTCTCTGTCTAGGTAAAATGGCTGTACTGTTTTACCTATGGTTGCCTGTCCTGAGCCATCTATGAACTGTGTGTGTGAGCTATGTGCATTGGAGCTATATGAGGGGACAGGTCTGGCATTGCACACTGATTGGGCTTTGCGGTACAAGTGTGCCACTCCTCTCCCTCTGCCTGTGATCCCACACAGCACCTGAGATGGGTGTGTCTTGCAAAGATGTCAATCAATCTGCTGGCCACAGGACACCAAGAAGCAGGACTCCACCTTTGAAACCTTATCCCTGCCTTATCTGATGAAGAACATTCTATCAAATCTCCTTTGTGTGTCCCCTCTATAAAAATAGATTCTGGGTACACACTCTTTTTCCAGCACCTTCCAGTGTGAAAGCTGACCCTAAGGTCACAGAGCAGTCCCACCCTTCATCTGAGAAACTCAAGTCCATGTGCTGTGTGATTTCTTTGCTGTTTTCTTAGCTTAATGTTGCAGCCAGCTTTTTGAATCCAGCTTATCTCGTCAGTGCTGGTCGTTGTCGAGAGTCGCTTTATTTAATATTTATTTTTGTGGTACTGGGGACGGAACCCAAGGTTGTTCTACCCCTGAGCTACATTTCCAGTCCTTTTTATTTTGAGACAGGGTCTAAGATGTTCAGGTTGTCCTTGTACTTGTGAACTTCTTGCTCAATTCTCTCCCCGCAAGTAGTTGATGTTATAGGGACAGTACCACCATGTCCACTATGGGTTTACTTTTAAATTATGTGAATAAATTACTGTAGCAAATTGACACTCATATATACTGAACAGATACATAAAGTACATCTCTGTATTGTCATTATTTGACATAGGACCTCTGCTGCCTATGCTGGCCTCTGACTTGTGACTTGTGATTTTCCTGCCTCCGCCCACATAGCTGGAATCATAGGTATATACCTCCTTATCTGGCTGCAAATATATCTCTCTCAGCTAAAACTGTATGATGTATGATTGAGCTGTCTGCCAAACACTTCTAATTACCATGATGATTAATAACAATGGTCCAGAGCCTTAAGTGTGTGTGTTGGAGGGGTGGGTTGTGAAAAAGGGTGGTGGGGGCAGACAGTAAAATAGCAAAAATAATTCCACATCCTGCAACTCTATTTCAACTCAGCTCATCTGACACTACAATTGAGTTAGAGGGGATGAAAAATAGAGAAGATGGGGCTGGGGATGTGGCTCAAGCGGTAGCGCGCTCGCCTAGCATGCGTGCGGCCAGGGTTCGATCCTCAGCAGCACCACATACCAACAAAGATGTTGTGTCCGCCGAGAACTAAGAAAAAAATAAATAAATGTTAAAATTCTCTCTCTCTCTCTCTCTGTCCCCCTCTCTCACTCTCTCTTTAAAAAAAAAAAAAATAGAGAAGATGATAAAGGTAGAGGAACATGATGAGGTCAGACATTGGTACTAGACCAGTCTGCTGTTCTTTACCTGCTTGATATTAAATTAGTATAAATGAAAGCAGTTCTCCTTCCTATCCCATAGTAATTTGCAAATCACATTATTGATTTATGATCTTTAAAAATATTAAAGTTGTAGATGAAATACAAACGACGTACAGTACCTTAAACACTTATCAAAGGGAGGTGGAGAATAAGGGATTGAAACACTTTATCACTTTATTTTTATTTTTTTTGGTGGTGCTGGGAATCTAACCCAGAGCCATGTTCATGCACTCTATCACACATCTGCTATCCCAGCCAGTTTTATCACTTAATTCCTCTGATCAGACTAGTCGCCTTCTAAAGCCATGGGAGATCACAGTGCTTTGGTATTTGGAGAGAGGTGAATGCAAAGGCATATCTGTAATTTTTATTTCTGGTGGGCCTTTCTTCAAGACAATTGTGCGATCTTCCCCGTGGCAAAGCCTTTCACTGTGATCCAAAAAGAGAGAGTCTTCTAGTGGTCCAGTATGGATCCCACATGCTTCTGCTTTCTAAAAGAAAAAAAAAAAAAAAAACCTCTGCTTAATATCACATCAAACATCATTTTCTTTCTTTCTTTTTTTTTTTTTAAGAGAGAGTGATAGAGTCACAGAGAATTTTTTAATATTTATTTTTTAGTTTTCGGTGGACACAACATCTTTGTTTGTATGTGGTGCTGAGGATCGAACCCAGGCCGCACACATGCCAGGCGAACATGCTACCGCTTGAGCCACATCCCCAGCCCCATCATTTTCTTGTTATATCAAGATGAAATTGTTCTGATCATTTTTCTAACTATCTGATGGACAGAGTAATATCTCTTCTAAAAGCAGAGCTCTGTGACTTGTTATTAACCTGACTACCAGGATGAGCCAGGAGGACTGAAGATTATACAGGTGGTAGGTAAGCCTGGAGTCAGATCATTAAACTTCAGCTTCACTACTTACGTGACCTTGTACAGGTCACATGCCACTCACCTCAGACTTAGTTTTCTCAAATATAAAATGAAAATATCAAGGGGACTGGAGATATAGCTCAATTGGTAGGGTGCTTGCATTGCATGCACAAGGTCCTGGGTTCAATTCCCAGCACCACCAAAAAAAAAAAAAAAAAGTCAAAGAAGACCTTAGAAGATGGAAAGATCTACCTTGCTCTTAGATAGGCAGAATTAATATTATCAAAATGACCATACTTCCAAAAGCACTATACATATTTAATGCCATTCCAATTAAAATCCCAATGACATTCCTCATAGAAATAGAAAAAGCAGTCATGAAATTCATCTGGAAAAATAAGAGATCCAGAATAGCTAAGGCAATCCTTAGAAGGAAGAGTGAAGCAGGTAGCATCACTATACCACCAGACCTTGAACTATACTACAGAGCAATAGTAACAAAAATAGAATGATATTGGCACCAAAACAGATTGGTAGACCCATGGTACAGAATAGAGTACACAGAGACTAACTCATATAATTATAGTTATCTTATATTAGACAAAGGTGCCAAAAACATGCATTAGAGAAAAGATATCCTCTTCAACAAATGGTACTGGGAAAACTGGAAATCCATATGCAACAAAATGAAATTAAACCCTTCTCTCTCACCATGCACAAAACTCAACTCAAAATGGATCAATGACTTAGGAATATAACGAGATTCTGCGTCTAAAAGAAGAAAAAGTAGGCCCTAATCTTCATCATGTGGGATTAGGTACCAACTTCCTTAATAAGACTCCTATAGTGCAAGAATTAAAATCAAGAATCAATAAATGGGATGGACTCAAACTAAAAAGTTTCTTCTCAGCAAAAGAAACAATCTGTGAGGTGAATAGAGAGCCCACATCTTGGGAGCAAATCTTTACAAACCCTCAAACATCAGATACAGCACTAATCTCTAGGATATATAAAAAATTCAAAAAGCTAAACACCAAAAAACAAACAAACAAACAAATAACCCAATCAATAAATGGGCCAAGGACATGAATAGATACTTCTCAGAAGATGATATATAATTAATCAACAAATATATGAAAAAAATGTTCATCATCTCTAACAATTAGAGAAATACAAATCAAAACCATTCTAGGGCTGGAGATGTGGCTCAAGCGGTAGTGCGCTCGCCTGGCATGCGTGCGGCCCAGGTTCGATCCTCAGCACCACATACAAACAAAGATGTTGTGTCAGCCGAAAACTCTCTCTCTTAAAAATAAAAAAGAAAAAAAATTCTAAAATTTCATCTCATTCCAGTCAGAATAGCAGTTCGTATGAAGACAAACAATAAATGTTGGCGAGGATATGGGGAAAAAGATACACTCATACACTGCTGGTGGGATTGCAAATTGGTATAACCACTATGGAAAGCAGTATGGAGATTTCTTGGAAATCTGGGAATGGAACCACCATTTGACCCAGCTATCCCTCTCCTCGGTCTATACCCAAAGGATTTAAAAACAGCATACTACAGGGACACAGACACATCAATGTTTATAGCAGCACAATTCACAATAGCTAAACTGTGGAACCAACCTAGATGCCCTTCAATAGATGAATGGATAAAAAAATGTGGCATATACACACAAAAGAATATTACTCAGCAATAAAGGAGAATAAAATCATGGCATTTCCAGGTAAATGGATGAAGTTAGAGAAGATAAGTGAAGTTAGCCAATCCCAAAAAACCAAATGCCAAATGTTTTCTTTGATATAAGGAGGCTGATCCATAGTAGGGTAGGGAGAGGGAGCATGGGAGGAATAAAGGAACTCTATATAGGGCAGAGGGGTTGGAGGGGAAGGGAGAGGGCATGGGATTATAAATGATGGTGGAATGTGATGATCATTATTGTCCAAAGTACATGTATGAAGACAAGAATTGGTGTGAATATACTTTGTATACAACCAGAGATATGAAAAATTGTGCTCTATATGTGTATTAAGAATTATAATGCATTCCACCGTCATATATATATATATATAAACATAAACACAGGATTTAAAAGTATCCCTTAAAAGTTTATCCTAACTTTGGAACATATTGAGAACATCTGAATCCCAATTATTTCTTCCAGGACATTAAATATCCCTCTTGCTTTGTTTAATTGAAAATGAGGTAACCATACTTTTTAAAAATCATAAATAAAAGGATTGTCTACAAAAAAGGGGTTAAAATTTAAAAAAAGGATTCTTTGAACATTGAACAAAACACATGTGAAGGAAGGCTGGGTGTAATTCAGCAGTAGAGTACTTGCCTGATCTGCTTAAAGCCCTGTGTTCAACCCCAGCACTGGGGAAAAAAAACAGGAAAAAGAAAAGCAACTTATGTGAATGAAAATGCTTTTGCCCATTACGAGGTATTAAATTGATATAAAGTTTGATGCTGTTGTTATAATTGTTGCTGGATAAATAACAGCAATAGGTTATTGACTGAAGTGTACATCTGCTTTTGATGTCTCAATATTGAAGAATAGCATTCTGGCCTGGCTTTGGAGTGCAGCCCTGTTTCTGGAACATTGTGTTATCACTTCTGAGTTGTTAAGTGTGTGTGTTTGTGTGTCTGTATGTGCATTATCATCTAAGGAAAAATGGTGAGAATAAATAGGAAAAGAAAATAATAACCTAGAATTTACTCAGTATGGCCAAATTCACTTCATTTAATTAAGTTTCATGGTAATTCTATAAGGTAGTATGTACCAGTTCCCAGTCACTAATTATGTGTTTAAAATTGTTGGGAATACTTTAAATTGCAAAAATGAAATAGTTCTGAAAAATTATATAGGATTATTGCTCTAAATAAGAAGATCAAGCTAGGAGAGTAGCTCAGTGACAGAGCATGTGCTTAGTGGGGAAAAGGCCCTAGGATCAGTCTGCAGCACCAACCAACAAACACACACAAGAAAAAAAAATGCTTTGATGCATCCAAAACAAAATTTTTCTTACTAATTTTAATTCATAAAATGTATACATTGTAGTTCTATTAAATGAAAAAGACAGGTCCTACTAATACTGTCACTAGGCTAAAGTTATATAGGACATTAAAAATTCCTTGGTAAGTCACTAAATTACATTAAATATAGTCAAACATTAAGACCATAGTAAGTCTTAATAATAAACATATATGAATTTTGTATTTAAGTTTAATACTTGAGTCATTATTTCCTCAGATTTTTGTTTTCAAAACTATCAGATAAAAATACATATAAAATCATCATCCCAGGGCAAATGCAGCCCCATTTATAACATTGTTCATGTGCATTTAATAAGAAAACAATTGAACCATATCTTACGATATATTTAACATAAATATTTGTAGTTTATAAAAAATCTCTGTCTTGGAAAAATATATTCTTATTCAACATTAATCATTTAGCCAATTAGAATTTGCAAATTATTTATACAAACACATTTTCTTTTATGTATCCTTATTTGAAGTTTCCTCTCATAGTCTGATTATTACAATATATTCTATTCTCTCTTAAAAGAAAACCCAACTTACTGCTGGGCATGGTGGCGAATGCCTGTCATCCCAGGGCTGGGGAGGCTGAGGCAGGAGGATGACGAGTTCAAAGCCAGCCTCAGCAATGGTGGGATGCTAAGCAACTCAGTAAGACCCTGTCTCCAAATAAAAAATAGGGCTGGGGATGTGGCTCAGTGGTTGAGTGCTCCTGAGTTCAATCCCCAGTATAAAAACAAAAATTACCATTTCATAAGTAAATATGCTCAATCCAAAGTTGAAAAAGGTTTTAGAAGTACTGATTAAGAACACTGAATGGGGGCTGGGGATGTGGCTCAAGCGGTAGCGCGCTCGCGGCCCGGGTTCGATTCTCAGCACCACATACAAACAAAGATGTTGTGTCCGCCTAAAACTAAAAAATAAATATTAAAATTCTCTCTCTCTCACTCTGTCTTAAAAAAAAAAAAAAAAAAAACACCAATGGGCAATCTTCAAGTCTAGACCAACTGTTCCCATGACTCTCTACTTGAACATTCAGTGTGACTTAAAACCTATATGTTCTATACATGTATGATATAGCTTTTTTCAAAAAATTTTATAGACAGATGCAATATCTTTGTTTATTTATTTTTATGTGGTGCTGAGGATTGAATCCATTGCCTCACATGTGTGAGGTAGGTGCTCTGCTACTGAAGCACAACCCCAGCCCCTGATGTAGCTTTAATACTAATGGCACCTGCTTCTAATAGGCTTAACACTGCCAGTTAGCATCATGTGGAGGTTCTGAGATCCTTTTGTATGCCTATTTTGTTTATATTTGCATTATTGTATTGCCTAAACGTTTACTTTCAAATTTATGTGAAAGCGCATCAAAATCATTTTTGTATAGTCATATATATCTTACAGATTATATTCAATGGTATAAGCTTGTAAATGATGAATATTTGTGAGAAAATACCTTCAGATTCACATTCCTGAATTCCATATTTTCTTTCCAAGGCATGACATAACGTGCTGGGATCATCCCTTGCTTTAATGAAAACCGTGGCAAATGAATCTCATCATACCTGAAGATTAAGAAAGCAAGAAAAAGGAATGTCTTGTGAGTTTGTTGTTTTGGCATCATTCCAAGGAATTGAGGTGATTGTGTCCATGGTGTTTGGACCCTTGAAGCTGCAGGACAGAGAACTGTGCTATTCAGGCTCACCTAATAGGCCATCAGTTCTTTAAAGCCCCACATTATCACCAAGATCAAGTCAGGGTTGGGTACCTCCAGCTGCATGCAGTCCTTTATCGTCTGCACACAATGTCCATATAACCAGATGTGTTTTTTCCCCCCTTTTTTTCTTTTGGGGCAGTGCTGGGGCTGGAATCTAGAGCTTCCTACATGCCAGGTAAATGCTGTGTCACTGAGCTACATCCTCAGTCCCCACATAACCTGATTTTAAGACAGCAGGCAGGGCTGGAGATGTGGCTCAAGCGGTAGAGCGCTCGCCTGGCATGCGTGCGGCCCAGGTTCGATCCTCAGCACCACATACAAACAAAAGATGTTGTGTCCGCCGAGAACTAAAAAATAAATATTAAAAAAAAAAAAAAAAAACACACACAAAAAAAAAAGAGAAAAAAAAAAAAAAAAAAAGTTAAAAAAAAAAGACAGCAGGCAGTGTACTGTTGTACCATAATTTGCCTCAGGCCTACTCTTGTCTAAAGGAAATCTCTGGCCAGTGGCAGAAACAAATACCACCCCATCCCCAGACCCAGAAACTAACTTGGCTTCTAAATTTATATGTGATCAGGCTTTCACTGCACATGTATGATATTTCCCTCTGGAACATAAAATTTTCTGTATCAATGTGAAGGAGAAACAGTTATTGTCATTTATGTAGCTCCCAGACTGTGGAACAAATCAGAAGTCAAAACCCCTCAGAACCCTTAAGTCCTCACTTATTAGCAGGATTATATGAATTCTCATCAGAGCAGTCATTGGATAAGGTCAGATCACTGTCTTTTCCTGAAGCCATCACTGCCAGCAGTGACAGAATTCTCATCTAGAACCCAATTCACTGACCTAATCTAATGGAACTACTGCCTCTGATGTAACAATGTCTTGTCAATTTCATAGCAAACTTTAGAAGTTAACATAAACAGCTGAGAGGGCCAAGCTCAGAGCTACTTTCAGTGGTAATTTTATTTTATTTTAATCTCCCTTCTTGGGAAAGACGTTAACTTTAAAACTGGTAATGCTTGCAGATATATTGCAAATTTGACACGTATTGGAAATACACTTGCTAAATCTAAGTCATATTAACATTTTCTATTTGCTTTTGGCTAATTTTCCTCCTTACATACTGCACATCATCATTGATAAATGTTCCATTTGTTTTATCACCTATTACTTAAGACACACTTTCAGTGTAAATCAAGTTTAAATCCCACCAACTCATTTTATCTTGTGATATTGCAGAATATTTCAGACTATAAAACTCTATAATAAAGTCACAAGTGAAGATAAGTACTTCAATTACTATGACAGAGGCAGAATGTTATTAGTGTAAATCCTACAGACTAGCAAGAAAAATATACAGGAAGAATTATAGTGAGATACACTGGTTTTGTGGGAGTATAAAATGAATACATATATGGGAAGTTTGGACTCTTTCTTTCAGAAAAGTTTAGAGAAGAGTAAAATTGATAAATGTAAAAAACCTTAAAAATGGAAGCATTTGTTTCTACATGACAGTAGGATGCTACCCATATCAGATATCTGTGTGGTTTCAAATGTTAAAGAAGCAAATACTGATAAATGAACTGGTACAGTGGATATAAGGGAAATTTTCATGAAGACAAACAGCCTTAGGCATCAGTGCCCTTTAAAAACTATAACTTTCAGTAGAAAAAAAAATACCAATATTTACTGTATATTATGTGGCAGAAAATACTACATCTTTAAAGTCACCTCTCAGTGCTGGGGATGTAGCCCAGAGGAGGAGCGCTTGCCATGTGCAAGGTGTGTGATGGTGGGTGGTGTTGGATCACCCCTCATGAATGATTTCAGGAACAATATTCAGTTACATATTTAGAATATTTTTCTTCCCTTGGTTATACCAATTTTTTTTTACATATTACTTTTATTTGCGTTTTTTGTATATATGTGACAGTAGTATATTCTAACATACTATACATATGTGGAGCATGAGTTATTCTAATTAGGATCCCATCCTTATGGTGGTTATATCAATTTTATGAAGAGTATTTGAAATTAAAAAATGTCAGAGCTGGAAGTGTAGCTCAGAGGTGAAAGCTCATGGTTGGCATGTGCAAAGCCCTGGGTTCAAACTCTGGCACCAAATAATAAAACTAATTTTATTTTTGCATTGTTTATAAATAAAAAACATCCAATAACCACTTCCCTCTAAGATCTAACTGCAAAGACTATTTTTCAGGTACTGAAAGACTTCAAGTACATTGTAAGGAACAGTTTATAACTGTTGAATTATTCATTTTTGCTTAATAAAATCTACTTGTTAAGCACAGTTTTGCTTAAGATATTTTGTAAATTATTTAAGACTTGGAACATTTTAAGTGTAACTACTTTCGTCTTTAATGAAAACAAGTTATTTGAAACTTCATGCAGATATGACATTTTAAATACCTAACTTTCATAATATAAGGTAAAACAGTCTTAGGTAGGCAACTACTGGGAATTTGAAAAATGTCCATAATGTCACACAGGTATGGATCACATTCAGTATCTAGTATATGACCAAGTTAATTAATAAGTCAAAAACAATGTTGGTCATGAATTGGCATGAACATACTTTATATACAAAGATAGGAAACATTGTGCTCTATATGTGTAATAAGAATTGTTATGCACTCCACTGTCATGTATTTAAAAAAAAAAATAAAATCAATTAAAAAAAAACAACAATGTTGGGTGCGGCGGTGCATGCCTGTCGTCCCAGCTACTGGGGAGGCTGAGGCAAGAGGATCACAAGTTCCAGGCCAGCCTTAGCAACTTAGCAAGACCCTGTTCTAAAATAAAGAAATAAAGGGTTGGGGCTGTAGTTCAGTGATAGAGCATCCCTGGTATCTTTCTCGAGTACCACAAATCCCTAAAACAAACAAATGAATGAAACAAAATAAAACCCAACAGACAACCCACCAAATTCACAACCAATACTTCTTTGAAAAGCTTCTGATATTTATTTGCTTCTGCATAAACAAGAGGGAAGAGCCTTCAATATAAACCTTTTTTAAGTCTCTATCCTTAAAACTGCCTAAGAGTTCTTACAATATAGAAAAAAACAAATTTGAATGCATTTGTAACAGCTTAATTATGTGTGTCCCATCTGGATCTTTTAATGGAATGTTTTGAAACCAAAGCATAATTTACCACAGACAAATCAGAAAAAGAAATTAGATTTTTGAGTGGTGTGTTACAATGACCTGGACAAAACCAATTATCAACTAGTAAAATACTCTTAATAATTAGCACATGCAACAGAGAAAATTAAATCCTATGTAATATACTGTATAGTGTCAGACATAAGCCATCTTTAAATGTTTCTATCAATTGTATTCATCTCTCCACATATATTAATTTTTATTTAAAACAAGAAACAGTTCTCTTTTCTCCTGATTCTCATGTTTATCAGTGCAAGTAAAACAAAGCAATCTCAATAAAAATGGGTTATTACAATGTTATTTTAGAAAGGTCTATTCCTCAAAATGTCCAAAATGTTCTTAAAAGATGTCCAAATCGTGAGAATGATCAACCTCAATGGCCTCCTCTGCATCCAACTTGGTTTCACCATGTCCTTCCTGTGGCTCATCAAGAGAGGCCAGGGCCTCATTTGTGTCACTTGCAAAAGTTTCTCGTGATGTATCATCTTCTTCTTGAAAATTCAAACTTTTAATGGCTTGTTTCATCTTTTTACCCAATATTTGTGTCCTCCTTTTCCTAGCAGCTTTTTTATTTTCATATTCCTTTTGATTTTCGATGTAGAAAATATCCTATAATAAAAAAGAAAAACTTTATCAGACATAGTCTAGCATCTTAAGTAAGTATTGACTGCAAGTAAAGATTGAAGCTATAATTCAAATCCAATCTCGTGTTGGATTTAATGAATCATACTTATTCCACCTGAACATATCAAGTCTACAGTCAGGTTTTCTAAATGAAAAGATATAATACAAAAATCATGTTGTTTCGAGTTTAAGTAAAATGTAATTGATCACAACAAAACAGAAGCCTTTGGAATAAAGATTTACTAACTTTGAAATGTCATTCTAACTTATGTAATGTTCATGCTAAGAAATCAAACCGTGAGCCACTGCACATGCCTCTAATCCCAGAGACTCAAAAGGCTGAGGCAGCATATTGCAAATTCATGGACAGTCTGGGCAACTTAGCAAAACCCTGTCTCAGAATAAAAAACCAGGTGCAGTGGTGCATGTCTATAATCCCAGTGGTGCCCCAGCAACAACTAGGCACTAAGCAACTCAGTGAGACCCTGTCTCTAAATAAAACACAAAGATAGGGCTGGGATGTGGCTCAGTGCTCCAGTGCTCCTGAGTTCAATCTCCAGTACCCCCCACCCCAAAAAACAAAAAACAACAACAACAAAAAAAAACAAATCAGGGCTGGGGGTGTGGCTCAGTGGTCGAGTGCCCTTGAGTTCAATCTCCAGCACCCCCTACCCAAAAAAGGAGGAGAGGTTGAGGATGTAGCTCAGTGGTAGAATGAATGTCCCTGGATTCAATGCACAGAACAAAATAATAAAATATTATATGAAAAAGAAAAAAAATAATGTGGGAAATTTGATACAGATAACTATGCAGAGATAAAGAGAAATCAAATTAGATCATGGATTTAAAGAGAAGGCCAAATGAACTACAGTAAGACAGGGAAGGTTTAAAAGGAAGTTGGTATAGATGGATACACTTCTGAAACCCTATTATCCTCTGGGAAAGGACTCCTAAAATTTGTATCCAAGTCTGTCCCTATCATTCTCTAAAGTACACAAAGTACGAATGCCTTATTTATAAAAAGTACTATGGAGAATGGTGAGATAAAGGGGACTCACTCCTAAAATTTATGCTAAATAGTTACAAGTAGCACATATTAGCAAAGGAAGGAGTAAAGAACTTTGCAATAAAGGGGATAAAGGAAAAAGTTCAGAATGAGTGTTCAGAAAGAGGATAAGAAAAAGAACAGAAGAGCTACAAAGGTGAATTCAAAAGTAGGCTAGCTATCATTTACTAAGTGAATATTTTTATATGCCAGTCATGCTAAAAACTTCACACATTAACTAATTTTATCCTCACAAAAACTTTATGAGGTAGGTATACTATCTCTTTTTTCAGAGAGAAAAAAAAAAAAAAGGCGAAAGATTACAGAGCTAACATGAGAAAGTACAAGGTCTAAACTCAAGACTGGGGGGGTGCATGTAGCTCAGCTAAGCGGTAGAGTGTTTGCCTGGCATGTGAGGCCCTGGGTTCCACCTCTGACATGGTGGGGTTGGGGGGAAGGTCTGAACTCATATAATTTCTCCAAATCTATATTCTTTTTCTTTTCTTTTTTCCCCTAGTACCAGGGATTGAACCTAGGGGCACTTAAGCAGTGAGTTACATCCCTAGTCCTTTTTATTTTCTATTTTGAGACAGGGTCTCACTAAGTTGCTGAGGTTGGCCTTGAACTTGCAGTCCTCCTGCCTCAGCCTCTGCTTCTGAGATTATAAGCATGTGCTACCATGTCTGGCTCAGATCTATATCCTTAAAAATCTATTTATACCGCCTTCACAAAAGTTTAATAATTTGGCATTTTTTAAGAGTGTACTTGTCAAGTATAAAGATAATAATAAGCTTCCTGAAGTATTTTCATTTTATGTGGAAGCACAGTAAGCATCTTCACAGAAAAAATGTCAAGTAGAATACTGCTTGGCAATACAGTAATTTTATAAAGTTCCCCTTTCCCTTCAAAGATGGCAATCCTTTCTAAAAAGGAACTTCATTCCTACAGGCTATGGATTTAATAGAATAAAGCAGGGAATGGCCCAAAGAAATATTGTTGCAACATACTCTCACAATAAATGCTGACAAAAGAAAATCTAAGGGAAATATTTTTGCATCCCATATTCATCAAGTAAAGAACCTGACTACATACTGTTTTATAAAGGGAGACTGTTAGGCTGTGCCTTTAAAAAATGACAACTAAACTTTTATTTATTTATGAACTTTGTTATTTTCTAAAAACTGAAGTAATTACAAGTTCACTCAAACAAAAACAAATAAAACCATAAATGATAAAAGCAAATCATGTTCCATAATTAAAAAATTAAATAATATCAAATTTTGAATTCTGAAAACCCCCCAATGTATAATAATACTCACATAACGAATTCTCAGGAACACAAAAATTGTCAAGAATACCTTCTAGCTGTCTTGCTGGCACATGCCTGTAATCCCAGTAGTTCAGGAGGCTGAGGCCCTAGGCAACTCAGTGAGACCCTGTCTCTAACAAAAAAGGGTTGGGAATGTGGCTTGGTGGTTAAGTGCCACTGTTCTATCCCTGGTACCAAAAACCAAACAAACAAAACCAAAACAAAACACCTTCCAGTTCATAAGAAATATCAAAAGATGGAGGAAAAAATGGAAAAAAAGTCACAAGGAGATAATCACCAGAACATTAATAGGATAAACTAACATTCTATTAAATAACCATCATTCAAAAGGTTTTAAATGACAAGGGAGGAAAATGCGGGATTAAAAACAACAAAACAGGGCTGGGGATGTGGCTCAAGCGGTAGCGCCGTTGCCTGGCATGTGTGTGGCCCGGGTTCGATCCTCAGCACCACATACAAACAAAGATGTGTCCGCTGATAACTAAAAAATAAATACTAAAAATTTCTCTCACTCTCTCTTAAAAAAAAAAAAAAAATCCAACAAAACATACGAGGGGCTGAGGTTGTGGCTCAGTGGTAGTGCACATGCATGAAGCACTGAGTTCAATTCTCAGCACTACATACAAATAAATAAAATAAAGGTCCACCAACAATTAAAAAAAATATATATAAAAAAACCTATATGATAACTGGAACATGGAAACCTATATTGGATCCTGGTTGAGGTGGAAAATATAAAATAAATTATTAGGACAACTCAGAAAATTGGAACAAGGTCTCAATATTGGATCTTAGGACATGGTTGTTGAAATAATGAGGCTGAACATCATGATGTTTGCTACTTATTTCCAAATGAAACAAAAAGAAATTCAATAGGTAAAGCAGGAATGTCAAAATAAGACAGCCATGGCATTGCATACCTGTTATCTCAGTGACTTGGAAAGTTGAGGCAGGAATATCACTAATTAGAGACCAGGCTGGGCAACTTAAACTCAAAATTTTTCTTCTGGCACTGGGGATTGAATTCAGTGCTCTTTATCACTGAGCCATATTTCCAGCCCTTTTCATTTTTTATGTTCAGACAGAGCCTAAGTTTCAGAGGCTGACCTCACACTTGGGATCCTCCTGCCTCAGCTTCCTCTGTTGCTGGGATCATAGGTGTGCACATTCACACTTGGCTTCAAAATTACATATTTTAAAAAGGGCTGGGGATGTATCTCAGATGTACAATGCTCTGTGTTCCAGTCCTAGTACTGGGAGGGGATGGACATGAAACATCAACCATCAATGTCATTTTGGTAGAGAATATATGGGCATTAATCTTATTACTCCATCTATTCTGCATGTTTAAAAATGTCCATTAATAAAAAATTTTAGGATGATTGGAAAAATAATTACATGCTAAGAGAACAGGACTAAAAATCTCGATCTTGGCTCTGAAAGGGAAGAAAAAGAGGAGGCAAGCCTTCACAAAATGTACAATGACAAAATTGGTCCATTTAAGGCAGAGCAGGTGATGAAGTTGGAAAGCAAACCCAGAGGCTGAGTGAGCAGAGGTGAAATCACAATGGAGCTTCAAAGCCAAGAACATTATCATTACCTTAATTTGTTCTTCACTGATACTTGGGGTGTTTTTTAGGAGATTCAGAAAAACTCCACCTGGTGTTCTTCTTCGGCTACCATTCTACAAAAAATAAACAAAACAAACTGTGAACTACATACGACTTTTCTTTCCTTTTCTTCTTTTTTTTTTT